GGAATCTGAGAGCTGTCTGACCCTGCATAGACAGCAATGCAACTGAAATGTTCCCAGGCCCAGAAATGTAGCAAGGAGATCTGTAAAATAATCCATGTGACATCGGGGGTTCAACCGTAATTATACGAAGCAACGAGAATATTTTTTGTGCGCAAAAGAAAAAAAACTAACGACTTTCGTTATTAATTTGTCTCCTCCGCATCACCCTGGTGCCATTTTAGAGAATATCCGCTGGACGTAAACAGCATATGCTGTTCTGTGTCAGCTGTGTCACGCCGGATCTGTTTCCTACATTGTTGTGATTCGATCTGAACGGAAACAGCGTAGCCGCGTGGCGCAGCTGACACAGAACAGCATACGCTGTTTACGTTCAGCGGATATTCTCTAAAATGGCACCAGGGTGATGCGGAGGAGACGAATTGTTGAATAAAGTCGTTTTTTTTTTTTCTTTTGCGCAACAAAAAGTATTCTCGTAGCTTCGTATAATTACGGTTGAACCACTGATGTCACATGGATTATTTTACAGATCTCCTTGCTACGTTTCTGGGCCTGGGAACATTTCAGTTGTATTGCTGTCTATGCAGGGTCAGACAGCTCTCAGATTCCATCAAAAATATCTTAATTTGTGTTCCGAAGATGAACGAAGGTCTTACGGGTTTGAAACGACATGAGGGTGATTAATTAATGACAGAATTTTCATTTTTGGGTGAACTATCCCTTTAATGGGAAGGTCTGAATAGCAGTCCGTTTAACATAGCAAAAACGGGCTGCTTTAAAGCACTAAATAAAGTGATTTGTGGGTTACTATACAGATTATTTTTATTTCATTAAATCTAAAATTATAAACAGTCATCAGAAATGTTCTTAATACAAGGAGACATATCATATTTACACTACTGTTCAAATGTTTGGAGTCGCCAAGATATTTTATTGTTTTAAAAATCATAATAAACAAACAAAAATATAACAGTCTCTTAATCTCACCAAGGCTGTTCATCAAAAATATAATAATAATAATACAACAGTAATATTGGAAAATCAATCAATTTAAAAAACAGTTTTCTATTTCTGTATATTTTAAAATGTCCCTTATTCTTGTGATGGCAAAGCCGATTTTTCAGCATCATTACTCCAGACTTTAGTGTCACATGATCCTTCAGAAATCATTCTAATATGCTGATTTGGTGCTTAAGAAACAATTCCTGTTATCAATGTTGAAAACAGTTGTTCTGTTTAATAATTTTGGGGAAACTGTGATGTATGTTTTTCAGGATTCTTTGGTGAATAAAAAGTTCAAAATAACATTATTTGACATTATAAATGTATTTATTGTCACTTTTGATCAATTTAATGCCTCCTTGATGAATAGAAGCATTTCTTTCCAACAAGTAATTTCTTTCCAAAACAAATCCTACAGACTGCAAAATTTGAATGCTTATGTGCATTTAAACTGAAATTTATTAAAGTGTAACTATGTAAACATTTGAATCATCTGCATCGAGTCGGATTTGATAAATAGGTGTTGTCCGTATGTTTGTCACTTTGTGTGGAACACTGTGTTGTTTCAAACGTAAAACACCTATTTTTTCAAACATTTCATTTATGTTGCTTCATAGAAGACTACATGTCACAAGGTTGTTGATAAAGAGTTTAAAGTGGTCCTATTATGCTTTTTGCACTTTTCAAAAACTACAACGAACGACTCGTTTGGACTACAACGCATATTTTCCAGGATTTGTGATATCAGCTGCACTAGAGATATGAGCTGCACTAGAGAAGGCAACGAGTGTTATCACTATGTCGGAGACACGCTAGCTTTCCCAAGGCAGACGAACTTAGAGTGGTTACAATCATCCGGGTTTAAATCGTGCTCAAATTGATTTGATTTGGACGCAATATTTACACTGACCCCCAAAACAAAATCAAGACTTTGTAAAAGAGCATAATAAGACCCCTTTAACATTGTGTTTTTCAGCACATTTCCTGGGAGTGCTACTTGCAACTACAACAAAAATTCAGTTAATATGGCTTGTGAAATACATACAGCACACCTATACACAGTTCAGTCTCACCGTTGGCAGTGTCTACTCCAGCCTGTGATCCAGTGATGTGGTGCCAGAAAGCACTTCGTGGTAAGATTGCTGTTGGGGTGCAGGGGTAGGACGTCCCCTCTGAACCCTTAGATAAAAGCTGGGGAGAGACAGAAGAAGAGAGATGGGAAAGAATTTCAATTAGGTTGATAATAACACAAAATTATGGCTTTGGTTCTGGTGTTTTGAAAGTTGTATGACAGGAAGAAAATCAGTTGATTTGCCCTGCAATCTCTCAAGCTTTGTTTTAATAAGCACTGTGTGGTGTGTGTGTGTGTGTGTGTGGGGGAATATATGTACAGTGGTGTCTGAGATCTTGAGTGATGATGCTTTTATTTAGCATAAACAATGTCATTACAAATTAAATTACCATTCAAAAGTATGGGGTTAGTACATGTTTTTGTGTGTGTGTTTTTCTTAAAGAAATTAATACTTGTAATCAGCAAGAATGCATTAAATTAATAAAAAATGGATGATTAGGGGAGTTTTACATAGTGACATGTAATTTTTATTTAAAATAAACACTATTCTTTTTAATTTTGGATTCATCAAATAGTTCTAAAAAATGTATCACTGTTTCCATAAAAACATTAATCAGCACAAATGTGATAATAAAATGCTATTTTCTGTTTAATGTTACTTAAAGGATCATGTGACACTGAAGACTGATGGCTGCTGAAAATTCAGCTTTGCCACCACAGGAATAAATTACATTTTTAAATAGATCTTAATAGAAAACAGTTATTTTAAATCGTCTTTACTGTATTTTTGATCAAATAAATTAAGACTATAAATACATATGAACTGTAGTGTATATTATAAGTGTAAAAAAATGCATTAAAAAGTTGAATCGATTTGAGACCGTTCCAAAAAAGTTCTTTTGCACAAAGGAATTAATTTCACAAGGCCAGTGTCACAAAATTGATTATTATAATGACCTAGACAGAAATTGAGAAGACTATTTTTTTGTTGAAATGTCTTAGTTTTAAATGTGTCAAAACTTTGTCTTTTTCTTGTTTTAAATTAGATTTTCAATCTGGCCTCAGGCTTTAGAACCCACTGCATGCTTTGGTTACCTTGCTGTTTTTTTCCATTTCCATGAGGACTCTCTTGTGCTGCTCAGCTATAGCTAGAGTGGAAGTATGAACCCTTTGGTAGATCTGCTCTCCTTCTCGTGTCTGGAAAGTGTACAGGCCCTCCCCACTGTCACACATCCTAACAAAATAGCAAACAACATAGCAATAAACAATAAAGTAAAGCAAAAGTGATGAACTGCAAAGAAAGAACCCATATGCTACACATGCTTTGTGTGTTATATTATAATAGCCACTAGGGGGCAGTGTTACATCAGACTCAAACTTCTCTCTAAAACGCTCTCATCTTCTCTCTCAAAGGGCATCCAGCTGGCAATGTGAATCTTCTTTTATTATTTGATCAAAGCAGTGAGGGAGATAAGAACACCTAATCTGCCACTGAACTCCTTGTAATCCACTCAATAAATCCTTTTAGGAGGTCCACAGTTCAATGGCTCCCTCCCTCTGCTTCCATGTTTCTCTTACATATACATGACCAGACTGAATTGAATAAACATTTCACAATCTTATATCTTAAACATGTTTTACCTGCCAGCCTCGAAGGTGAAGCGCGTAGCATCCCTTCCATAGCGTCTAAGCGAGCAAAGCGGCCAGGTTACTAGCTTGGTGCGTGGGTTGTGAATGTCCCACAGGTAGATGTTTTCATGCGTGATCTGCATCATACACTCCCCGTAGATGTCAAGATTAGGGCAGGGCAACAGGAACACGTTAAAGCGCTCTGTATGGAAAAAAAAACCCGAGAGACTGATAGTGAAAAACAGGTATTTGGTTAACGGTTTAGTCACTACACTGTAAAAAAATGTAGTTTTTACAGAAAAAATAAAAATGCTACAGTAAGAATCTGTTAACAGGTTAAGTGTAAGTTACCTTTAGATATATGGTGAAAAACTAAATGGTTTAGCATCACTTTCACAAATGTATTGTTTCTGCAAATGGAAAATGATGAACATTTAATGTATAATTTATGGTGAAATATAGTGAAAGTCCCTGTGTGACACATCACAGATGATTATATTTGACATAAATGTGACCCTGGGCCACAAAACCATAAGGGTCAAATTTTTTAGCTTTATTTTTGAGATTTATGAATAAATAAGCTTTCCATTGATGTATGGTTTGTTTGGATAGGACAATATTAGGCAGAGATACAACTATTTGAAAATCTGTAATCTGAGGGTTAAAAAAAATCGAAATATTGAGAAAATCGCCTTTAAGGTTGTCCAAATGATGTCCTTAGCAATGCATATTAAGTTTTGATATATTTTACGGTAGTACATTTACAAAATATCTTAATGGAACATGATCTTTACTTATTATCCTAACGTTTTTTTTGGCATAAAATAAAAATCGATAATTTTGACCCATACAATGCATTGTTGGCTATTGTTATACAGTCACAAATAATCCAAATAATTTTGTGTCATGTTATGGATAGACCAATTACAAAGTACTCTGATTGATCATGTGACTTTCTGTTTTACCCCCTGTATTTTTATGGAGGTTATCAGTACATTTTAAGGTAAAAAAGGCGATTTTGGATGTTCAAGTAGATCAGTGCATCATATCACTTAATGAAATATACAGTTGTAAGTTGTAAAATATACGGCATCAATATTCCTGAAACACTGTCATAATATTTCCACCATGAATTTCTGGCAACCACAGCTGTTTTTTTTTATGTAAATTTAACAGAATATATTCTACAGTGTAGATTAAACTAAGTGCTACCATGTTGTCACTAAAGTACGCAACAAATCTAAAGCCGTACACTTGATATAAAACAAGCTATAGGAATCCAGCTCATAGGTAAGCAATAGTACAGATGGCTTTAGTATCTTACTGTACCTGTGTGTTCACACTGAACTCCGGCAGCCAGGAGGTCTGGTTCTCCAAGACTGATGTCATTAAGACGCATCCCCAGGCACTCGATAGACAAGGTCTTGAACCACTCTTCAGCCTCCAGCTCTGTGAGAACAGGAAGATTCAATGATGTCAATGAATGAACATGTTCTTTCAATGAAAATGTTCTATGAATAAAACATACACTAGGAGGTGCGCTTTGTAAATGTGCCTGAGAGCAGCACGTCATCAGACCGTATAGACCGAAATGCTAATATCAAGAATGAAAGCTGGGGCAGCAAAACAAGCCTTAGTAAAAGATGATGTACCTGATTCACAGGTGAAGGTTCGAGAGGTGTCATCTGTAAAGACGATGGCCACAGCTTGCCGCTTTGTGTCACGAGGCAATCTTGTGATGTTCTTCACATTACTAATCTCTGTCACCTGTGTGTAAAAGGAAACCGATGCAACTCAGAAGTAGTGACAGAGCCTAGTTATTCAGAAAGGCTTCATTTGCATCATTTGGAAAGGCACTTGTGCTCTCTTAATCATCTAATTTATCTTTCACTTTCTATAGCGGGTTGTGGGAGCAGCAGAGTGCAGTAAAGAAAGGCAAATGAGAGCGATAAACACACAGAAACCGGAGGCCTGTGAGTCAGCAAAGTTAGAGCGAATCGTGAGAGTCTGTGCATGAATACTTTTATGCAAGAAATTATCTGTTTACACACGGCCGGTCTCGTAATCTCGCCCGCCAGCTCTCGCAGTATGAATGAGCTTTGCGTGGCTGTTAGTATAATTGGAGAACTGAAGTGACACTTGAATGTTTTCCTTGAATGTTTCATTTCTCCCGTGACAATTTCAGGGCTTAGATTAGACCTCATTGAGAAGTGTACCTTAGGACAGGCTCTGATGTAGGCTGACTTCTCATCAGGGTATTTTTCCAGTCTGCGAGGTCCTTTACTGGACGACTTCTTAAACACCAGCCAGCAGCGCCGATAGATCTGAAACACATGTGCACATAATCACATAGGGTCCAAAAATAACACTCACCAGCAGTAGAAATTGGCCTTAGTGAGTAAATAAATTGAATAACTGTTAAGTAACTTTTAGGATTCACAGCAAAATAGGAATGCATTGATAAGCCAATCAGTTTATAACGGCAGAGAAAAAATAGAAGATTAATGCTGACACTACTAATATCAACATTATTTTATCTAAATAAATAAAAAACACTGAAAATTAAAGTAAGACAATTTAAGTGGATTTAAGCATCAAAAGAGTGAACAGCATGAAAAATGGATATTCCATTTGGAATTTGCTTAAGATTACATTTAACAGTGTTATTAAATGATTAATGTTGTTAAATATTAAATGTCAGAGGGTTAGATGAAGGCAAACAATCTAAATGGAAAAATATGGAAAAATAACTAATTTTTTTAATCTTTTTTTAATTTTTTATATTTAATGTCTATTATACTCACCAAGGCTGCATATATTTGATAAAAAAACAGTAAAGTATTGTGAAATATTAAACAGTAATATTGTGAAATAATAACATTTAAAATAATTTAACTACATTTTATGTATTTTAAGATGTAATTTATTCCTGTATTGGCAAAGCAGCCATTACTGCAGTCTTCAGTATCACATGATTCTTCGGAAATATGCTGATTTGGTGCTCAAGTAACATTTATCATTTATCACTAGTGATAAAAACAGTTGTGCTGCTTAATATTTCTGTAGAAACCTTTTTTTTTCAGGATTCTTTGACGAATAGAAAGCTCAAAAGTGCAGCATTTATTTGATCTTTTGCAACATTACATTATAAATGCCTTCACTGCCACAATCAATTTAATGCCACCTTAATGAAACGGACAGATACAGCTAGGGACAGAGAGCTGAGTTAGTTTGGTCTGGAGGAGTGTTGGGATGATGGTGTTGAAAGCGGAGCTAAAGTCCACAAACAGGATCCTCACATAAGACATCACCAACTGCAAGGTACCAACTGCAAGGCCATAAAGAAATAAAATAACCCCAAACTTTTGCATGATAGTCTAAATAAAAAAATCCCTAGTACAATATAGCAAGTGGCAGGACATTCTTAAATGTCTATCCTGGTTAAACCACCAAAACAAACATTCGATTTTGTCATTGATTTGACGTTTTTGTGTCCGCTTGTTCTGCACTGAGAGACTGGATAATTTTATGATGCTGTGTGTGGTACAGTGACCTATGCTTCACTGCAAATATACAAGGGTAAAAAAGAAAAATACTGACATTTCTTTCCAAAGCTAAAACAAGTCATTCTGCTGGATAAATGTGCTATTTGCACAATATGAAAGCTTCTAATTAAACCTACAGCAGTTGTGATCTGTCTTAATCTTTTGTAAACATTCTCTCTCCCTCAATCGACCCTGCTGCCATAAAAGCTATTTTCTGATTATATACCTCTGATGTCCTTCAACGACAAATCCTACAGTTGCCACGGTAACCCCTGTCCATTTAGGCAAGTGCTCCAGCCAGCCCAAGGCCAGTCCCGCTCTCTATCATCACTGGAAATTGTTCTGAGCAACATTATTTCTACATCATCTATTCAACAAACATTAAGACCCTTTAGAACGGCATGATGTATAAGTTCGGCAGTTCAGCTTTACACCTTCCTTTGTCCTATTTGTCTTTTTTGTCTCAATAACCCTTTAGAGAGAATTAAACTCAATGTGTTTAGATTCTCGTTAAATTCCCTGGTGTTCAGACAGAGGTTTAAAATAAAGTTACATTCTGACTCACACGGTCATAAACATGGCATTAGTCATCAGACTTGTATAATGACAGGCCTGCATTGCACCTCAAATACGACAGAGAGGTTTAACAAGCGAGTCCACACGCTTTTAACCATATTGCCCATTCACGAACATATCAATAGGTGATTTGTACTAAAAGGAATCCAAAGATAAAACCGCACCTTTGAAAGGTTCATGCAACTTGCAGCGTGTCCAATTTCCTGCTGAGATGACTGATAGAAAGCTGAACTGAGCTGATGAGCTTTTGTTTTTATCATCTAAGCTGACCTTAATGTCATTGCCACTCGAATGCTTGGACCCATCTTACGGAGAAAAGAAGAAAGTTAGCTGCATGGTTTTCCATTCACAGCAGGTAAAAGATTGATCCCTTGTTTGCATCATATTGTCCCCTGAGGTTCCACTAATCCTCTGTAAACAGACTGTGCAACAGCATCAGCAGAGAGCGACGACCGAGTGTGTGTGTGTGAGAGATGTGCCTTTCTCACTGTTGCTTTACTGTTTGTATATCTGTCTGAGCAACATTAATACACAACTACATATGCATATACACACACAAACCAAATACGACCCATCCTGGTGTCACTTCCTTTCTAAAGAAGTACTGTGATAAATATAATTTCCATTGAAACAGTGTAGTTTATACAGTTAAATTTTAAATGTAACTGTTAACATTAAACTTTGTATTAGCCACCAGTCATCAAAAAGTAGTTTAAATGAAATAAAGTGAACTGTTTGAAGGAGTTCCTACACTACTGTTCCAAAGTTGGCGAGTAAGAATGTTTTAATAAATTATTAATTTAATTCAGCAAGGATGCATTAAAACTATGAATATGGAGGTCATAGGACCGGCAGCATTTTTTAAATAAAAATATTTTGTAACATTATAAATGTGTTTACGGTCACTTTTTCCTACAAAAAATATATCAGCTTCCACAAAAATATTAAGCAGCACAACTGTTACAATAATAAGAAAAAAATGTTTCTTGAGCAGTAAATCAGCATATTAGAATGATTTCTGAAGGATCATGTGACACTGAAGACTGAAGTAATGACTGCTGAAAATCTAATTTAAATTGAAAGTAAATAGTAAACAATTACTTTAAATTATAATATTTCACAATATAACTTTTTTACTGTATTGTTGATCAAACAAATGCAGCCTTGGTGAGCATAAGAGACTAAAATTTTGATTATATGCAGTTTGTATGACCGTACTTGTTTGTTTGCAATTCTAATCCTGCTTTGGCTTCTTTTGGATCTATTATTATTGTCAGAGCAAATATTAACAAAATGGCCATGGTAATTGACATTAATTTATTGCTTTTAGCTGCTGTATGAAAGCAATAAATCACTCTCTAAATCATACCACATTACTGAATATTAACGCGACTACAATAACAGTGCAATTTTGGAAGTTATTTTGTTCAATTAGTAACAATAACTGAAGTAACCATGGTATTTTTTTTGGCAGAAACCATGGTAACCATGCAAATTTAGTTTCAGGGTTAAACTTCTCTCACTATATTGGTACTTTGTATAAAAATGGGCAGTTACCTTTATTTATAAAGGGATATTTATTTATAGAGGGAATATACAGCCATACTGCTTGTTGCTGTATACATCCCTCTGAGAGTAACGCAATTTCAATTCTCTGTGTGTATGTGCTGTACATGTGGAAGAATAGACAATAAAGCAGACTTGACTTGACTTGACTTATTTTGTCTTGTTCTCTATATGAAAACATGCTGTAACCCTCAAACCTCTCCATGGAGAATAAATCATCATAGCAGTCAAAGCAAATGTGTTGGGGGAATAATGCATGGAGGACTAGGCAACACTTATCTCAAATGCTTACTGCAGCTTAATATAAGAGAAGAGGGAGGAGGAAGAGAAGGAAGGAAACAATAACAGCTTATGGAGGCACAAGGAAAATTCAGAGTTTAAACTGAAGCAGTGAAATGCTTTAGTTATTGGAAGAAAAAAAGGGGAGATAAAACAGAGGCAGAATGTGCCAACATTTCACAAGATAATAAGCCTGTAATGAGTCTGTATGAATCCATTTCTGCATTTTTGTCAGCTGTTCATCTCTCATCTGCTCTTCCCCTGAGATCTGACAGAACTCAGCCTGGCATCCTAGGATGGCCAAAGGGATAATGACACCATTGTAACAACAGTTGCTATGCTTAAAGCTAAAATTAAACCACTTCCTCTCAGGCAAGACTAAATTTAAAACGTCAGCTCACTGACTGTGTCCACTGAAACCTGTTGGGGATTTTCTGAAACTGTTCTAAAATTCAGTTCCTGTCTGTTTGCGTCACAGAACTACTGCGTCACCGTAGCTTTAGATCTTTGCTTTGTCCCTCAGAGATGCATAGCAAAAATAGTATTGCAATGTATGTCCATTTGATTTTTGGTCTTTATTGCCTGCATCGACCAACACACTCCCCATCTAATGTCTTGGGTTGTTTCGTAATTGTGATGCCTGGTGTTGGGCCGCTTACGATTGCAAATGCACTCAGAAGGGCTGGCAGTGGCTGAGGAGCAATTAGGGTAATTCCAGCATGGCAGCAAGGCCGGCGGTACAGGGCTGCCGGAACCCGAGCAGAATGCTAAACAGCGCTCTGATTAGTCTGATTGGGGCTCTTGGTCCCTAAGTGGACCGCAGAGATAGACAGTGAGAAAGGAAGGGAGAGATAGAGAGGCATACAGTCTGGCTAATTAGTATCCCTAGAGGTGCACAGGGAGCTTGGCGAGGGAGGTGAAGAAGAGATCGTAAAGAGGAAGGGAGGGGGAAGGGACATAGAGACAGTGGTCCGGAGCGGTGTGACGAAAGGCGAGACTCTGACGAGACTCGCCCAGCTGCTTGATGGCAACATGTATGAAGGCAAAGAAAGCAGGTGGCACCACAGTGTACAATTAACCATAATAATTTGATGCAACAACATTAAATTCTATCCGACAAGCCAATGATTACATTTACATGTAAGCATCTGACAGATGCTTTTATCCAAAGTGACTTGCATGCTATTCAAAGTATACATTTAATAAATTGGGAATTGAACCCATGACCTGGCCTAGATAGCGCCACGTTCTACTGTTCGAGCTACAGGAACGTCTAAATATGACAATTAATTTCATGTTTGGTGACTAATAAATATTTTGTTACAATTTAAAATAACACTATTTTAATACATTTTAAAATGCAATTTATTGCTGTGAAGGCAAAGTTGAACATTTCTTATTATTAGCAGTGTTGAAAACAGTTGTGCTGCTTAATATTTCTGTGGAAACTATACAAAGCTATAAATATTCATAAACATACATTTTCACAGTCCTCCAGCAGAGTTCCATTAACTTTAATATTATCGATGGTAGTTATTAAATTCCACAATTCCATACCACCAATACTGCAAATGACTTATTGTTATTGAAATACCATATGACTTTAAGGGATAGCTTCTAGGGGTCGACCAATTATCGGTGCCGATATTAAGCATTTTTATGGTTATCAGTATCAGTCATTTTAAAAAACGGTTTGCTGATAAACTAATTTAAAAACATTTAAAGAAAGTTTTTGTCAGAGTCCTTGTTATTCTTAATTTTGACATTAATTTTTACACCAGACATATACAGTATATTGGTTCAAAATATCGGTTATCGGTCTTTGATCTGTAATAATCGTAACGGCCTTGGCCCTGAAAAACACACATCGGTCAACCCCTAATAGTTTACCCAAAAATGAAAATCCAGCATTTACTCACCCTCATGTTGTTTTAGACCTTTATGACTTTCTTTCCTTCTTTGGAACATTAAAGATATTGTGAGAAATGCCTTAATGTTTTTTTCCCTTATAATGGAAGTCAATGGTAACCAAAATTCTTTGGTTACCAACATTCTTCAAAATACCCTTATTTGTGTTTCACATAGGGATGTCACGAGAACCGATACTACGGTACTAAGTCGGTATAAACATTTTAAAATCCTGCCGGTACTTGTTTTTCTTCAGTAGCGCAAGTACCGATGGTACTGACGGTAGCGACTAGCGAGGCTGCAATTCTTCCAGAACTGACGGGGGCAGGAATAGCATACGTCTGGAAGTGTTTCAGTCGGTCCTCAAAGGGTAAAGAAAAAGAAAAAAAAACGCCTACAAGCACACAGAAGAACTACACATGGAAGAGATATTACTGGTTTTTAATTGTCGTTCATGTTAATGGTTTAAAAAATATATATTTTCAGCCTGCCAGTATGTCAGTGAACTTAAACTAATGCTACCATTCAGAGTATAGGTGGGTGTGTGCGCGAGTGCATGCTTGTGTGCGTGTATTATTTGAAGGCCAAGTGCCACTAATGTTGTGTTTTTGTAATGTTAAATAAAGGAGTTAATGTTCAAGTGTTATTGTTATTTTTTTCCTGTGGTACCGACTTGGTATCGAGTATCATGTACCTTTAGTGGTATCGGTACAGGCTACTCGATTTTTGGTATCGTGACATCCCTAGACTTTCACATAAAACTCACATAGCTTAAGAATGACATCAGTGTGAATAAATGATGACAGAATTTTAATTTGTTTTGTGTGTGAACTTAATTACACCGTGTCTACACTGGACAAGTGGTGTTTGTGTGCATTTGTGTGCAAAATCCAGAAGCATCAGTCAGTAAGTTCCAGGTCTGAGAGAAAGCTACACCAAAGTCAAATATGACTAAGTTCTCCCTTCTTAAACACAGCAACGGCTAAATAAACCTGGGTGGTCAAAGTCTTGCAAAATATTTACCACCCACAGTCAATATAACTCTCAGATGGACAATACAATGACAATGCTGTAATGTGGGAGCTTTTAGCCAATGAAAATGGATTAGTTAGATCACAATCTTTCCTCCAATCTGTGGAGGCAAGTTCCTCGACATCCAGAAAAAGCAAGAGAGCGAGAGAAGGATAGGGCTTTGTCAGAGCTCAGACACAAATGCAAATGCTGCCACGCACTCACTGCTGCTGCCAAATCAGAGCAGAGGCAGCAGCATGGATGTAAATAATATTAGCTGTGCATAAGCAGGGATTTACGATATTGTGCTTGCATTACGTGCACTAGCATAATATTAAATAGACGAAGAAAATTGACGTACAATTAGGGAAGCCATTTGTTAAACAGTGACGGAGGAACGGTGCCAGTTTTGAGTTTGCACAGCACAGGAGAGCAAAATAGAGACAAAGACAAGCACACATACGGTCACAAGATGTGTGCATGCAAAAGGAACAAGAAGAGAGAGAAATGAGAAAATGAAGGAAGAGGAGAAATAAAGAGTAATGAAAAAAAGAAGGAAAATGGGAGAAAATATAAACTCCTCTTAGATTATTTAGCACTGCATTCCCCAGGGGGACCATGTGTCACAACCCCGCTGCTGCCACAGTAACCACAATCCTGCTGACTACATAATTCAGCCATCGACCTGTGCATGAGCTCGAGTGGCACTCAGAAAGTCACTAGACACTGTAATACTGGAACTTCTTAGACATTTCGAAACATCAATGCAGCTGGCTGATCCAGATTGATTTCAGCAGTGAAATAGTTTAAAAGCATATGCTTGTAATCATAAAAGCATATGCGGAGCAGGAAAACACGTAATGGAAAGTGATTGTAATGCAAATAGACAAACACACTAATGAAAAACGACAAGTATAATGACAAAAAGAAAGTAAAGAAAAGAATGAGATTTTTTTTACAAAGGGATATTTAAGTACAACTAACTGGGACAGCAGAGGAGATGCTCTCAGAGCCTGTGAGACTGAATCTCCTGTCAGAGGAAGATTGTAAAGCTGTAATGAGGTCTCTGGGCCAGAGATGAGGTTAAATTAGTAATGTAGTCCCCCCACGTCCTGCACCATTACTGCTTCATGAGACTCTTCCAAGGGAACAATTTGCTCAATCTCTTCAAAAACATACAATTATCCAGTAAAATGGAGGCAATATGTTGTGTAAGACGTCTAGTCTGATCTGGATGAAATGTTAAACAACATGAATAATACTTGGACGTTCTGATGCCACATACAGCAATGCTGTCATTTATCTTGCCAATCACACTACATTAAAGTAAATGCTAACCAACCCAAACTGATATAATGCTTGGCTCCAGTATTATTATCATTTAACAGAAACTAATAAAACAAAACAAAAAAAGGAGGAAAATATTTTCATTAACTGACATTAAGTAATTGTGAAAAACTAAACTAAAATACGCTTTATATATGGTCTATAATAACACAAATTAAAAATAATAAAAAAGAAAAAATTGAAGTTGAATAAAACAAAGATTACTCGAGTATATTTTACAACACCATGCCGTATCAGTGTTTCTACTTCAAAATTCCATAATGAATTCATTGTGTTGCTAGCCATTTCTTTGTAATTATTTGTGAAATTTATTAGTAAATGCTACATTAATTACTAAAAAATGTAATTATCTAAATTAGAAAAGAAATATAAAAACAAAATAACCCGAAACTAGAAAACTCTGAAATAAACAAATATAATTCATTCATTTAACAAAATTAAACTAAAACTGACCAACTTCAAAAAAAATTGTAAAAACCAAAACCATGACAATCCTGGAACTGAAGTCTCAATGACAATACAAGCTAACCAGCATAAGACCGAGACACCAATCAAGTGCACTAAAAGCAACTAATTACTACTCACCCCCAGTTTCCTGCTCCGCATGCGGACATAGCCCTGCTTGACAATGTCATTGAAGTTGGAGGCCATCTCTGAGGAACCTGGGAACTTCTAGAATGAATAAAGGCTTGCATCCAGCCCTTCGGTTTCCCCCTTCAGCCAGTCCAACCAACCCCTTCCTTCCTTTGTTCACTTCTTCGCTTGTCTTCCAGTCTTCCTTGATCTCGTCTGCTCTGCAACTTTACGTCCAGAAGATCATGTAGATCTTCAGACCAGGTTCACCAACAGGATTCAGTCTCCTCAATCCTGCATGATCACTGAGAGACGAGAAAAGGGCACATATCTTATTCATTTACAAGAATGGTGATTGCTTGCTAGATGATAGATTATTCATTGATTTGCTAGACATCTTCACTTGGGTGAAATCTAATTAAATAAAGTTAAAGAGTTAAATAAACATTACAGTTCTACATGACATATTTCTACCCAACGGCTGCTTCAAATGTCATCATGGCCTAAATTAAAATCCACTCTGACTGCAAACATTATTTCCGCACTAAATAGCTCAACCCTCGCTTTGTGGAGAATGAGAGAAATTAAACGTATCAGAGTAGCAGACTTTCAACTGTCAGGGTAGACAGTCCTTAAAGAGAAAGTTCACCCAAAAAAAAAAGAAAAGAAAAAAATCTCTGTGTTTTGTTTGCATTAAATGAAAGCTATGCAATGTTGCTTAGATGCCATTAATAGTATGAGCAAACAGCTGAATGAGTCTCAGTCTTCAAAATATCATCTTTGTTAGATTGAATTATGACAGGATTTAGATTTTTGGGTGAAGCGAGAAACCTTACCCACATATCCAATCTTGTAAGCCTTTACAAACCCTCACTTTAAAAGAAAAACAAAGAACCGCTGACTTATAACAAGTAATAGAGGCATAATGTGCTAAACACACAGTTTGAGATGAAAAGTTTCTAAGCATTCATAATAATCCTCTGAGCTCCGGCCCTCAGGCCAAAGAACTGGGACATGGTTGTAAGTGCAAAACGAACAGCATCATCAGCATGCTCTAGAACAACACCCCAAAGTGGCACGCTTCCCCAGAAGAGAGCCAAGGCCGGCGCTCAAAATTCTTGACTGCAGTGGAACACAGACATTAAACTTTAACAAGGAGCTCATTAGCCAGGACAGAGCCAGGCTAATCGTTGTCAGCGCTGTTGGTTTTAAAAAGTGGCTCGCTCAGGGAAGGAGGGGCCATTTGCTCCAGTAGAAGATCAGTGAATCATAATGCCATTATTATGTGCTCTCATGACCAGCTTCAAAAGCCCTTGTCAGAAGAGTGAATGGCGAAATAAAGATAAAAGGGAGAACAAGAACAGTTGAAGGAGGATATGAACAATGAAAAAAGTGCTTTTGAGAGGACCTCAATGGAACATCATAATGAAAGATCAAAACAAATCTCAACAGCCTGAAAATCAAAACTTTAAGTGTCAGCAGTAATAAATATTCAAGGCGAGTTTAAGAACAGAGGTAAAGGTATAAGAAGTACTTCATGATGCTGTTATTTTAATGTCATTTCTTTACCCTATTTACAGTGGTCAATAAGAATCAGTCACCTTTAATGCCCCAGAATACATTGGAGAGGTCACTATGCTTAAATTTGAATTTACATTCAAATTTATTTTGATGGCAGATGTTCTTAGCACTGTGACTTGTATATTTGTGTATGTAGTCTATCATGATTACTTCTGTTCAGCAGGAGGCAACAGACACAAATCAAGCACAAAGTTAAAACTATAAAGTAACAATTTAATATAAGCGCTGCTAAGAGCCTTCTGCTGTATGATGCATGGGTATATTCAACCAAGAGTGTATAGCAATATGCTGAATTGTTAAGTATTAGGTCATGTGCAGTGAATAGGCACCAAAAGAGTTTGTCTAACAGAGTAAAATAACACCCCCCAAAAAAGATGAGCAAAACAAACAAACAAACAAACAAAAAATTGTATAATAAAAATGGCAAGCAATTTGGAATTATTTTCTTTTAAATATTTAATAACATATGAAATATATTAATCTAATTATACATGGTCTAAATGCCAGAGAGAAAAGATATTCATAACGTTACAAAAGATTTCTATTTCAAATAAATAATGTTTTTTCAACTTTCTATTCATCAAAGAATCCTGAAAAAAAATGTATCATGGTTTCCACAAAAATATTAAACGGTAAACAGCCCAACTGTTTTCAACATTGATGATAATCATGTTTTTGGAACACCATATCAGCACAATAGAATGATTTCTGACTGAAGACTGGAGTTATGGCTGCTGGAACTTACATTTTAAAATATATTAAAATAGAAAACATATTTTAAAGTGTAATTATATTTTAAATTATTACTATTTTACCGTATTTTAAAACATTACTGTTTTTACAGTATTTCTAACAAAATAAATGCAGCCTTGGTGAGCATATTTAAGACACCTTTTTTCTCCCCAAACACATGAAAAATCTTACTGACTACAAACTTTTGAATGTAATTCATTCATTTAACAAAATTAAACTAAAACTGACAAAAAACAATTTCTAAAAAATTAAAAACCAAAACCATGACAATCCTGGAACTTTTGAATGGTGGTGTATATACGCACACATAACCCATTACTATTAATTTAAAAAAATACTAAAATACTAAAGAAATAATAATATATTTGAATAATATGTACACATAGTATATAAGCACACACATGCACACAAACATAGCCAGTGAGTAGGCAGCTGTAACTGTGTTAAGGGTGTAAATTCCAAGTAATCTCAGGCTTGGACGAACTTGAGGTCTCTTCTATGTTGGCAATCTTTGCCAATCACTTCTATCTTGAGATTGCCAAGACCGAAATTAGCCAAGAAGCCCTGTCGTTGCCTGCGCTGAGGCTTCGCTTCTCTTCTCTTCTCTTGTTTGTCGCAGGGAGAAACAGTGGTGACTAAGAATCCAGGTGTGAACAAGACTCAGAGGCAGCTAATGAATACAGACACCAGAATATCCCACCCAACCCCCTGCAGCACTAGCGACAAACAGCTTGTTAAGACGCAGGTGACACTCAACGTGGGAGGAGGAATGGAAGAAGAACATCTGTTTTCACCGTTAAGTGCGGGTATTGACAGAGAGCAGAGAGCAAGCGGCAGACAGACGCGTCTCTGTTGAACGCCTGGCTAATGATAGGCCTGACATGCCTTGTCGCCAAGTCTTCGTAATCCCTGAGAATTGGCCAGTTATACCACACTGTAATGGGTTTAGGTCCCATTTGGAAATATGAAGTTAGGTTTTCCGAACACATCTTATTTTTGACGAAGTGGTGATAAAAATTGTGGTGTTATTCATTGTAACCATGACAACAATAACTTCCTACACAGCAGATCCAATATTGTTAAGCTCAGATCAGGAGAAAAATCGTACAATTGAACAAAATGTGCAATCAATGATGAGGGTGACAACTGTACAATAATGCAAATGGCACAATTATACAATCTCTTTTATTGTTACAAAAATAATAAGTACATAAAAGCATTGCTGACATTTGGGAACTACTCATCATTGTGTGGGTGATTTCTACTAGTTCAATTTTATTTCTTATTTCTTTTTCACTTGTATGATAATTTATGTCTTACTATATTGCATAAAAGTTTAGTGTTCTAAATTACAATGTCACAATTGAACAAAATTATGGTGAATTATTTTCTTCAAAATCACTTTCTATACTTCTTTAACATCTCCTCAACAACAACAACAACATAAAAAGATTACTAGTTAAGTAGTTATAGTAATTATTAAAAACTAGTCATTCTTATATAAGCAATGACTAACTTTCTATCCAGTTAGACACCCTGTTAATTGTCTTGCTATTGTGTAAATAATTAAGTAATAAATACGTGTAAGTGCCTGATTACATATTTCATTACATGATTACTGATTATGAACATATTTCATTTTTAATAGTTAAAGAATTCATAGGTACTGCATAGAAGGAATGAGTCATATTTCTTAAAGAATAGTTAAAATGGATTACATGCTTTAAATTTCCACTTATCTTTAATCTTGATATAAACAGCGATCTTGAGAATGACAAAAACAATAATGAGAGATATTTAGGAGAAATTACAGTGTAAAGTTCTGGTCTGGTCATATTTCTATTAGCAAGGGATGAAGCTTTTCAAGACTATCAATACAAGCTGAGAGTTGCTCATTCACTTCTAAGTACTATGATACTGCCATAACACTGTCTCCTAACCAGCCGTGAAGTGATAAAGCGTCAAGCAATAAAATGATATCTTCCATGTAAATCTGATTTCTGTCCTACCCAACCACGACAGGAAATTTAGTCTGTTATTGGTATCTATTTTTTGCAGCTTCACACTTCCCATTGGTCCAACATTCTACTCTACACAGCTTAATATTTAACATCAAATATGTTCTAATTGTCTGTGATCATTTAGTAAAATATTTTCACCTTCAGTTAGGGCTGCCCGATTAATCGAATGTGATTGTCATGCGCATCTTGTCAGTAAAGCCGTGTTTGAAATAAATTCTTCTGTGAGATGATGTGGCTTCTTACACAGAACAAGGCATGCAACGTATTTCATAGTATTCTAAGCAGTGATAAAGGCTATGTCGATTAGCATTGCATTATTATATACTTTATTATAATAAAAATTATAATAAGACGAACTCAGATAAACCATATATTGTCATAGTCGTTTGTTTATTAGTCACACTGAATCAATGAAATCAGTTAAATCTTCTGTTTATTCAGCAACCACTATAGGGATTTCCTGGGTTTCTTCTGCGAGGCGTATTTGAAGTTTCAGCGCGAGAGCGCCCTCTGGCCTTCGGATGGAGATTTACTGCTGATCACAGAACCGTGCTTCACAGAAAGATATGCATGACAATCGCAGCTTCTGTCTAATCGCGATTTATCGCCTTTGCGATTTAATTTCGATTAATCGTGCAGCCCTACTTTCAGTGCAAACAGACATATTACTCTAAAATCTGAAGACTGTAGATACGGTTAGATAGTGTTACTATCCAATAACATGAACACACAAGGCTTCATATTGGTTAATACCTAAAATTGACATATTTAAAAAATAAGATGTCAACTTAATTATCTTAACTTTTAAGTCAGAAAGAACTTTATTACCAAGAATGTTTACACCCACAAGGAATTTGACTTGGCGACAGGAGCTTCCAGTGCAAAAGAAAGTATGGACATAGTGCAAACTTGAAAGTACAGACATAAATAGGAATTACACAGGAGATTTA